AGTAACCTCTGCTTGGCCATTGGGAAAGCTCTGTTTTCAAATTAGCCTCAATATGGTCCATCAATCCCCACTGCATGTTCAAGGGCCAGTCATAAGTGTGCTGCTTTTATTGGGATTTGCAGGTTTATTTATTCAGGCCTTTTTCCCTCAGCTGATTCATTCTTCCCATTTGCCCCTGACGCCGAACACAAGGTCAAGGGGGTTGTAAAGCGGGCGAGGTTGGGTCACAGTCCAGATCTGACAGCCCAGGCGGCACAGGGAGCACGCGGATCAGCTTTGACTCTCAAATCTCAGAATCTGATGCAAATCCGGCAGTATTTAAACCTCCAGATCAGCCTTCCCAAATCCTTTCAAGATATTCTCGGCTCGATTGGGTGGCATTAAAGGATCATAGGAGCAGAACAAAACATCGTCTGGCAGCGAGAGAGAAAGAGGAAGAGGGGAGGGGAAATTAGAAAGTGAGAGAGAGGAGTGCGAGTCAACTGAAGATTTTACAATGTGTTGCAGCAATGGAAATCATGGATCACATTAATGTTCCCTCTGTTTTTGCACTCCTCCCTCCTCATCTTCTGTTGTGCTTTATTTTGTTTGTTCACTCACTCTAATCTCTGTCCTCACATCCTGCTCTGGCGATATCCAGTGTAATCCCGTATGGATGCCTTTGTCCAGTGCATCTGTTACGGCTTTTAAAATACAGCTATCACTCTCAAACTTGGCCTACATATTATATGGTTGTCATTTTGCAGACCTTTTTTATCCGGAGCGATGTACATGACACATTGTGTGTCTTATCCTAGGGGAAAACTGCTCAGAGATCAAACCTGCAACATTTTGCATTTTTAGCCCAGGGATGTAACTGCTTGGATGCATTGAAATTAGGTGCACTGTGAGAGTACTTGTTGTTAGATGTGTTTGATCCCCTCATTTTAAACGCCATCCATTACTATGTGATAATCCTTGTTCATGACCTTTTTGAGGTGTGATATTTTTCAAATAAGGCATTACTGATTACAGAATGAAAGTTAAAGCATTACAGCATTTAAATTTTTTTATTTTCATTTTATTTTATTTTGCTGATGGTACATTGAGGATATTGATGGCTCTGCTTGCAGGCCACTTTTCAGTGAAGGTTCCCAATGAAGTCCATTCAATTAACATCACAAACCAGGTAAAACTGAATGAAAGAAATGATTAGGAGTTTGACTCAATTTCTCAAGCCCAGGTTTAGATACACTCAAGCCAGCTGTCGCAGTTGACAGGAGAAGGGTGGTGTAACTGCTTGGCATGTGCTGTAATCTCTCCTCACTGGCTGGGTGACTGCTGAAGTTCATTCTAAAGCTTTAACAATGCAATAAGGGTTCTGAATAATGTAGATTGTGGTTGGTTTGGTGGCGAGGGTGGAGTTGAATACATTTATATGGTAAAGAGAACTTGTGAAGAGCTGGAAGTGACAAAGGTAACTGTAACAAGTCCTGAAAATGCATAATGTCAAATAGAACTTTCTCTCTACTTTTCCTGTCTCAACATTCTAAAAATGTTCCTCTAGTTTAAAAGCACTTTTCTTATCTGGTGGTCTGTCTTTTAGTAAAAGATTGTCTTGAATTATATGTGACTTGGATATTAACTCTTGTTAAAAAAAAAAAAAAGGCTGACTTTGCTCTGTGTATGTAATGTTTCTCTCCAATGTCTTCAGATAAAAATGCAAGTTTCACTGCTGGACTTAAGCACGTGCTGGTTGACACCAGCCATCCCACAGATCTACTGAAGAAGGAAATGGATTTGGAAATGGCTGTAAACGTTTCATTATAGAGAGGAAATGCTGTAATTCTGTGCGTGTAATACAATTGATGTGCTCACAAGCTCTGCTGTCACAGTCTAGCGTCCCGTGTCCTCCCCCACGGCCAATGAGAGCCGCTTCACTCCACTGCCCTTACAAATAGACCCCATTGATTGAATCTGATTCCTGTGGATAGAGCAGGATTATTGAGCGGCCCTCCCTGATGTCTCACACCCAGAGTGTGTGTGTGTGGAAACGTTCTCTCTGTGTCAGCTTTTGTTGCTTAAATCAGAGGGACGTCTCCCCTGAGCCTCCCCCATCTGATGACACACAGCTCTCTGGAATTGCCGCACTTCCTTTATTTCCTTCCTCCCTCTCTTGCCTAAGAATAATCTATGCATTTTTTTTTACAAACATCCTGAGAATGCTTCTAGCCCAGGAGAAAGAAGCAAAGAAAGCAGGTGTTATAAAACGAAAAGAATTTTAAAAAATCCGGCCTGACCTCAAAAAGAAATGTCCACTCAACGGTGACTCGGAGAAGCAGCGTCATCAGCCCTCGAAAGATGTCTGTGCTCCACTAACCCCAGTGTCATTGCAGGCCTGTGGGAAGTTACTCTTAGTGACCAGAGGCACTGCAGCCTCATTAAATACCCTGCAGAATGAGCCAGAAACAAAGTCTTCATTTGTGGGACGAGAGAAAATCGACTCCATCTGCTTTCATGGCCACCACTGAGATGTTGTTATTTGGATTTAGAGCTGTGCCAACCACACAAAGTCCTGCTCAGCAGAAATGAGAGTGTGATAGTTTATGGTGTGTTGGGGCTTTTTCGAGTCATTTATCCTCTGCCTCACCCTCTTAGAGGAATGTATAGGCACAACTGCCCCAGACCTTGATTTCCTTCCTTGCACTGACCCTCTACTTTAATCTGCTCTAATACAAGGAGCTGATGCTTTTGTTTTGTTACAAGTTATTATGGATAATGGTTTTGTTTTTCCCGTTGTAATGGGTTATATAACGATAGATGTGGTGATCACATTCTCTTCTGCTTCTTGTTTCCTCCTTTTTTCTGTTTTTAATCAAATATAGTAACTAAATCTCCATCTAAAAAGTAACTATTCTAAAGCTCTCAGATATGAATTAGTTCACGGTCACATTGTACTCAGTGCATGTGACTTTCTTTTCATCTCTTTTTTTTATTTCTCTGTTTGTATATATATATATATGTACCAAATCTCTTGGCGGTCGTTTTAAGATTTGCAGCAGGGGGGAAGATTTCCAGGAAATGGCATACATTAATAGGTTAAAAGACGGCTTGAAGCAAACATTTTTATCATCTTTTCTTCCATATTGTGAAGTATATCTGAATGAAACATCATCTTGAAAAAAAAAATGTAGGGTGACTTAATTTTTTTGATCTTGTCTGCCTATTGGACAACCTTATTGTCCAGCCCTTGTGTCTGTATACACGATCATAGAACAGTTGTTGTTGCGAGGGCATGTTAATGTTTTTGATTAAAAGATTACAGGGGCACTTTTTTTAACGTACATGGTTAAAATAATTTAGATTAAACATTGCAGTATTTCATTAAAATAAGAAATGTCAGTTTTGATTTCATGGTGACTTGAAGGTTTTTTGTCCTTTTCGGAGCTTGACAGTCCCCATTTACATTGAATGGAAAAGAGTAACCAAGATATCTCCTGTTATCTCCTTTTATTTTATGTGTCAAGTCAGTCATACTATCCTAGAATGACATGAGGGTAAGTGAATGACACAAATTTCTACCTCCACAGACTATTTCATGAATCAGTCTCACCTTTTTTGAGCTTAACATATCAGTGTGGACAGTGAAATGCTTGAGCAGGAAACCCTGGACATATCTTTGCCCTTGTTGAGTGGCTGACTCCTTGTCACTTCTGACAGTATTAGAGCAGCTATGCCGAAACTGAGATCGGCTGACCAGAATAAGAGTGAAGAGATCATCATTTGTAAGGCAGAGGAAGGATGTGCTGCTCGGTCATTGGAAACTCCGTGTGGTCATGTGTATACACTCACTGTGTATGGGGGGTGGGAGTTGGGTCTGAGTTGGTCTTGCAAAATTCACAAGACTAATCCCAGGTGATACTCGTGAAGGACAGAGCTGATTTTCACCAGTCAGGCTCAGTAGTTGTTAAATGGACAAATGAAGAATGTTTTCCTCTCTCCGCACTGCATTTGATTAGCCTGAGCCCATTTTCTTTTGTCTTCACATGAGTGGTGTTATTGTAACAAGATGAATCTTCATTGGCTCTCCACAAGCTCCTCAAATGTGAAGTGTTCAAACAAAAGCTTCGCTTTCTAGAAAAGAATGTTTTTGTGTCTGTATTGAATTACTAAAGTGCTCAGGAATGGGTGAGTCATTCTTGCGGAGGCATCAGTAGCTTCAGTGCAGTTTTTATTTTTTCTGATTGAGGAAATTACTCAGGGTTTCTCTCAGCTTTCGAGTCATGTGGATATGTAGAGTTCTACTAACCTAGAACTGTGTTATTTCTGCAGTCAAAGTCCCTTAAAGGCAACTCTCACAATACCACTCAAATATGGTGTCTGTCAAAGTAGTTTGTCCTTTGATGTGTGCTCTCCTAAGGAAACTCTGAAACACCATGAAAAGTTAAAGGTGCCCCAGCCCTCCAATGTGTCTGTTGCTTGATGTGTAAATCTGAATTGTGCTGGTTTCTACTCCCTCTTTCTCTCTCCCCTCTCCTCCTCTCTGCAGTTGGAAATACAAGTCCCTTAGTGCTTCTTTTTTTTTTAAGTTGCTCTGCGTTTGAGAGATCTCATGTTTGGTTTACTCTTTTACTCGTTCTTAGTAATTGAAAATATGCATCTGTCTCTAGGTCCAGAAGCACTAGACTTCTAGTTCCTGCTAAGAGTAGATATTTATTAATATGTTCTACTCCAGCACTTTGTGTTTATTAATTTAAATAATTTTCATTATTTATAGAAATTTTGCATATGTCCCATTTAATAGAATTAAATTTAATTAGATTTTTTTCTACTAGTTTATTTGCTTTTTATGAATCACACTTTTTAAAATTGCATTCCGTTTTTTAAATTGTATTTTATTTTATTCACTGCTTTTTTTTATTATTGAAACCAGATTGTCCCCATTTTCAGAATGAATCCTGGTTGGTGATTGGTTGTGTGAGTAATGAAGTTCTCTCTGATTGATCTTTTTCTTTTCGTAGGCAGAAGGAGAAGATAATCTGAAGAAGATGCAGCTTATGGAGCTGGCCATTCTGAACGGAACATACAGAGACACCAACATCAAAATGCGTAAGGAGACACATTCACACATCAACAGCTAGACGCTTGGGAACTTTATATAAACAAACTCTCCAGAATAAAAAGAGTTAAACATCAGCATATCCACAATGCAGTCATAAAACTAACTATTAGGGAATAATGTGAGTTCAGCTGTGATTGTGTTGCATAGTGACTAAAGAGATCGGTTTAAATGCTTACACACACAAAATCACACCCATATTTGTTAGGACGCAGAGCTTACACACACAATATCAAATCACAACCAGCCATAATCCATCTCTTATATCCATCCTTAATCCACATGTAAATGCACATACAGTGATGTTGTTTTCTGTGCTGACTTACTCTGACCATAAATGAGCAATTAAAAAAAAAAACCTTGTGCACATGAGAGTTCATCAGACATAAGGTGCTTGTTTTAATTCAAGAAAGAATCCTGTTCACTGCACACTCCTCTTGAAAACATCTAATCATCTGCCCACAGTCTAGTATTTCTGTCTCTCTTTAATCCCTCCGTCTCTCCCTCTCTCTTTTTCTCCTTCTCCCTCCTCTCTCCCACCTCCTTTCAAAGCTGTTCCAATTGCAATCACAGCTTGCGTAATCTTGGTGTGGCACACAGAATCATTTTGCTGCATGATTGTGTGTTTTAGGTTGTCTTTAGGTCATACACTTGTATTATTGCTCAAACATATTTGCATATGATTCAGCCCGTGTCATACATATTCATTAATGCAATGCATTTTCACATTGACATGAAGGGTTTTGGGCTTTTATACTGCTCTGTAAAGTAATATTTACATGACTGTATTTATGATTGTATGGATTTATGAATGTGTGCATGCATATTTGGGTATATATGACAGGGACATCTTTTTGGAAGAAACACATCTGTTTGGCTTTAGTGCAGAATGTTCACAAGCATTTTAATTTTCAGCCCTGTTGCCGTTATTTCCCCTCCACATCTGCACTAAATGTCCCAGTGGCATGTAGAGGTTTTTGATTCATGTGGGAAAGCTTATGGCAAGTTAGTGGAATCAATTCTAGAGAGTGCACTTTAGATTTACAGCCATAAGAAATAACATGAGCATATTTTAGCACACAAACTGAAGTGCTGTTTCCTCTACATGCCGCAGGACATTGAGTTTAGATGTGCTGCTTTAAATCAGTTACTCTGTGTTGTGTATTAGTGCCTCTGTATTGATGATCGGTTTGCCCTGGTATGATCAATCATCAGTTCCTCCTTGTGTTTTTTAGTTTTGATTCATTTTTGTAATGATTTTGGTTGTGGGGTTTTAGTTTGCTTTAGAGTGTAATTTTTTGTGGTTCATTGACCATTGCATGGACTAATTTTCCTTTATTTTTTCCCCCACCCTCTTTTTCCCTCTTTTCGTGTACTTCTGTTTTCCTTTCCCTGCCTGTGCTTTTCACACATCTGTTTTTGTGCCTTCTGTCCAATTCTATATTCCCCTTCTGCTCTGAAAATTTTATACACCTTCACACACACACAACCTCCTCCTATCGCTCTATCTCTCCCATTACTTTTCTCTCTATGTCTTGTTCTCTTCCTTTCACTCTTTCTGTCTTTCACTCTTCTGTTTACGGCAGCCACCCTTGCGTTCTCTCTTGCAGCAGCGGCAGCAGCTGCTCAAGGTCAGCGTCTGATCGCGGCTCCTGCGGGTCAGGTCCTTCCCCCAGCTGCCCTCAGGCCCCCCACTCCAGCAGGGACCCCCATCATGAACATCATTCGGCCCACTCAGATGGCCACCATGCTACCCAATGGCACCCCTACCCTGGTGCCCCCACCTGGCTTTTGAAATCATTTCTCTCTTCCCTGCTGTAGCAGGCCTTGGTACCAGTGCCGAGCGGCACTGAGAGAGAAAGAGCCCAGAGTCCCATTGGGGATGTTCATTAAATTCTTCCACTATTCTCACTGTATCCAATTGTCTTATTTTTACCCTTGTGAACTTGAGTGCTCAACCCTATTCAGAGAGAATTGCCCATACTCCCCTGCCTAGTGAGGCTTCTGCAAACACTCGTGAAGAAGATAGATAATAACCACGACATCTTCTTTTACAGACTCGACACTTTTCATCAAAGCAATGTAAACATTTAGAAATCAAGTAGAGATGGCGATCAATAGCATGGAGTCATGTGTACCAGCAGTCGAATACTGCGCTTGAATAGCTTTGGTTAGTGCTCGTCTTTGATTCGATGGAGGGATTTCTGAGTTCAGTTCACTGGATGCTGTACAGTTGGCATGTTTGGGTCTTCTGCTGTTCTGACAGTGCCGCGTTTCCACTTTTAAACTTAAACGCTCACAAGCTTAGCAGCCTTTTATTTACTTACAGTATCGATCCAACATCAAACCTCCTCCAGACCAGACCAGACCATGTTCTCTCTCACTCTCTCCCTTTCGCTTGCTCGCTGGGCATCAGTGCAATCAGAAGTGATTTGTTGGACATCTGCTGTTTCAGCATAGCATGTGGGTGTATACGCGCACACAGTTAGAGGGAACCATTAGCACTTCCAGAATTTCTCCAGAGGAGAGTAAAAACATTTGTGCTTCGCAACTATTCTGTGATGTCATTATGTGATTTGGTATAGTCGTCACACCTTGGCAGGCCCACATGGAGCTCTGCAGAGTCATGCAGAATTTAAATGCCTGTCATTGTAAAACAGTGTAGCACAGCCCCATCTTCTTAGGTGTTTGTTAAATAATTTGGTTCAGCTACCAGTAACAACTTTCAGTTGTGTTTAACTCATTTTGCCTCATTTGTGCTTAAATGGATTAGATTAGAATAGATTTGCCCCCCCCCCAAAAACAATGGGCACAAAAAATGTGCCACGTCCACAGATTCTTCTCTGAACTTGCTCATAAAAATATTCAATATTTAAAATCACTTTTTTTGGAATGCCAATTAATATTTTGTTAGTTTTTGTATTGTATTTTGTATAGTTTGAAATCTTTTGTTGATTGGGAGACTAAAATATATATTCCTTCACCAATCCGTCTCAAGGTCTGTGCATGCCAAGAGCGAAACAAAATGTAACTGGCAATTCACATACTTTAATGTTACATCAATTTTGTTTATATACAAAATTCTCTTACTTTAATGCAAAATGCAACCCATCACATTTCTTTCACTTTAAAGCAATATAACTAGGGCTGGGTAAAAAAATATCGATTCTCATTTTTACGAAACGATATCGATTCTTAAATCCCAAGAATCGATTAGTCCTGTTTTCAGTTAATGGACGGAACATTGAAGGGCACCTCCCATCCAATATATCGCAATAAGCATTGTGCTTTGGTCCTATTAATGTGAAACAAAGTCTCAGATTTCAAATTCTGTCCATTGTATTGCAAAATTAAAACAATAAATGCCATTTTGGCGCTGTTTAATGTGGAGTGACAGATCGCTGTAGCACCTCGATCAACAGACGCGGCAGCGCGAGGCGCACGTGAACTGATCATCTCCTCTGCATTAATACCAATTTCAGCGCAAAATTAACATGACTAAACATACTAAGGTAAGTTAAAAGAAAGAGTACAACTTTATAATCCGTATCCTGTCTCATATAATCGCTCAATAAGTGTTTCAGCAGCTCAAAGACGTCAATATAACGGCTTGTAAACAGTGTCACATAACGTCACATTTACCTCAGAAAAAAACATATTCGGTGACCATAATCTCATTAGTCAGCTAGAAAATTAAACTGTAGAGAGGGGCATTTTGCTAAATATATGCACCATATAAATTTATTATAATTTTTACTTTTCTTCAATGTTTAAGTTATATTTTTTATTACAGCCACCATTTAAATGTTAAAAAATCGAAATCGAAGTAGAACTATTATGTAATTGTAACTTTTATTATAAAAATTAAGTGTAATTTAAGCAGTTGTATAGCTTAAAAAATCAGTTAGTTTTAACCTTCAATATTATAGTATATATTTTTTCTTGAGAAAATTTGGCATGTGTACCTGATATATATCCAAAATAATCGATATTGAATCGAATCGAATCAAATCGAATCACAAGCTTGTGAATTCGAATTGAATTATGAAATTTGTGTCAAAACCCTGCCCTAAATATAACCTTCAAAGCAAAATAACCTTAAAATTCCACACCACATTCACTTACCAGTGAAATCTGTTTTATTATTTGGGTTGCATTGTAAACATGATGATAATGATAATACAACTGATAGTGAAAGTTCTATTGAAATTAATGCTTTGGCATAGGAATATAGCACCGTATAATAACCAAGGTGTACTGTTGGTACAAAGAAATAAAATCTTTTTGTTCATGTGTGCGTATGCATACAATTTATAGAGGAATTTTGCTCTTGGTGTTGAGTAGACCTTCACTATGGAACCAATAACTAGTCCGCCATCAACAGTTATTTCAAATCTATTTTTTCTGTGTGCGTTACATTTGAGATTGACCAAGGAGAAAATGTAAGTTAATTAATTTTATTGTCAACATGCTTAGAATGTGCAGTCTATTCTAGTTTTTCCACTTATTTCACATGAATTCTTGTGAGCAGAGAACGTTTGTATTTTAGACTGTGTGCTGAAATTTAGCTAGCATGAGCCAGGTGCTGTCGTACAGTAATCACGGTGTCAAAACTTGATTACAATTTGCTATCATATGACACTGCTTCCACTATAGTAATTTTTTTTGCTTAAAACATACCTTTGTTTAGTGTGTGTGTGTGTGTGTTTGTTTGTTTTTTGTTTGTTTTTGTTTTGTTTTTTTACCCATAATTCCTTGCCCACCCGTCTCAAATTTTAGTATCTTGTGGATTACTATGTAATTTTAAGTTGTAAGTTATACATTTATTAAATTCTGGGTTTTTTGTATGCATTTATTACTCTTGTTTTTTATTAATTTTCTACTCGGTGTGTTGATATTGTGAATATGTATTATATGTAGAAACATTATATGCATACATTTAAATATAGATGAGATTTCATGTAAAGCCTGTTTCACAGCTAGCCGGTTCAAATTGAGATTCATTTTGAATGGATCTCTTAAATAAAAGGTCAAAATCAGATGTGCTCTGTATTTTTCTGGTTTCTAGAGTTCTGCTGCGGCATTATGTGGTCTAGCTGTGGTCCACAGGCTTTACATATATGTTTTTCTCCTGGGCTGAACCATGTCTAACCTTATGGACCTGTTGTAATCTAGGTGCAATGGCTACTAAAGTGCGGAGACATGATTCACGGGTCCATCCTTACCAAAGGATAGTGACCACAGACAGAGGTTAGTTAGATAAGATACTTCTACCTTTTTTTAAATTATTTGTGTTTCTTTATCTCTGAACGGGGGATCATACATGTGTTTATACACTGCGTATCTTTACTGTGGAAATGTGTTTACATATGAAATGCCTCTGGAAACACTCAGGTTTGCAGAAATTTGAGACTGTAACTGAATTAAATGCCATTTGTTTCATAGCGTTATATAAATCAGTGCATTTCTTAACTACGTCTAGATCCAAAAAAATAGATTGGAATTTGTGTGTGTTGCTTTTTTTTATTTGTGTAAATCATTTTAAAATACAAAGGGACTGGAATAAGCTTCCGTTGCCAGCAAAGCCATTGGCTTTTGTGCTTAAGCTATTACCTCAATATATATACTTTTTTAAATCTCAGGTTAAGCTCATCGGATTTTGTTTGTTCATCTCTTTAAATGTAAAAATGTATTTCACACCCAGTTATATTTTAGTTATACTGAAGGTACTATTTTTATAGCAGATGTATTTTTGAATCTTGTGTATACGTTCAATGAAAAATAAAGAAAAATAATCCAAAGCGATATTTCATTTCTGTTACTTCTCCCTATTTTGTTTCTTATGTTTCCATGTATCTTATTAGCATTTGGCAATACTTGCAGGTTTATACGTGCTGCTCATTGCAGAATCTTTGCCAGCTCAGTAGGGGGCAGTAGGCAGAGTCAGGCAGGGCAAGAGATTGGGGTGAAGTGTTTTTGGAGTCTTCAGGATATTCAGGGTTGGACAGCTGGGATATGAACCGGAATCAGTTTACTGAACTATGCCATCCCAAAAACTCTCAACCCCTCCCCACATATAGTGCCTAAACTTTCTACAATTCTTTCTTTGAATGAGCTGTGAGATTAAAGACAAAACAAAAAAAACTAAAAAAGTATTATGTGTGCGCATTTAGCCAAAGGGTTTCCATTTAATGAATTTCATATATATATATATGAGTATGTATCTAACCGCCAAGGGTTCTGTCATTTTAGTCTAGAGTTTGAAAAGGTTTGATGTCATGCCTGTATCGGTTTATAAGATGGATGAAATGGTGATTAATTGTCCCACAAGACACTAATTTCCTTGAGGATGTATAAAAGCAATGAACACTAAGGAAGATGAATGAGGTAGACAGAACGGGGTAGGGTTTAACCTCACTGCTGTATGTACACAGTTTTCTTTTTGTTTGTTGATTTTTCTAAATTTATTTTTCTTTTTTCCAAATTTCTCTTCCCCCGTCCCACCTTCCAAAAATTAATTCAACTGAGCTGAAACTAAATGCAGGTGTTCTTGCCTTCATGAATTGCAAGTTATTTAGATTTGTTTCAAAGACCCATATCAAATAGCCCATCCACAATGTGTCCTGCACACCCCCAGCTACTGAGCCCACTCTCATTTCTAGACACCCTCTCAAAAAAACATAGGATGTGAAAGCCATGTCTGCCTGTTCAAATTGCTTTATACATACATGATATATATATATATATATATAAAATGTATACAAATGTAGATATGCCATTGCTTATTAAAATACTGAAAGATCACAACATATTTCACGACCTTTATCTGTTTATTTGCGTAACGTAGCACTAGCTCTCTGATTCCCCCTCACAACTAATTACACTGTTCGTAACATGCATTTCGACTCAAGACACTAAAATGTTACTAGTTTTTGTTTGTATGTTTTTCTCGTTTGTCTACGTGTTATATCTCTCTGCTTTTGTTTGTGGGAACATGGGGCATTTTAGCGCTTTAATTACATGTAATAACGTTCTGATTGAACTGATCATGACGTTATTGTGTCATGATCATAACCAGGTTTAGCCTGTGTTTGTCTCTTGGCCATGGAATTAGGGGGTTAAACAAAGATTGCATTCATTTTGCTGTTAAAATGATGTCATTCCAGTCTCTTCTTGCTAACTAATATCTTTTCTACCTTTTTTCCTTTTTGTTGTTTTCCTTTTTGTTCCTAACCACCTAGCCGCCACCGGCAACTAACAAATGACCTCTGAACTCTGAACTCTTCACCCAATGATGAGCCGCCCGACATACATGATATATATATATATATATATAAAATGTATACAAATGTAGATATGCCATTGCTTATTAAAATACTGAAAGATCACAACTAGATACTTTTACAGGGTGCTGGAGAAGAAATATATATTTTTGGCAATTTTAGCTTTTTATACTTAACTTGCAGTTACAAAATATGAAACATAATACAAAAAAACTATAAAAACATTTGTAGAATAGTACAGCGAAAGGTGGTAAAGAAATATTGCGTGACTTTGGATACTATTGGCCAGGGGGGGAAAAAACAGACCAAAATAGTCAAACCTTGGAATGTTAGAGGAATTGCATGACGTGAGAGGAGAAGAGTACAGTTAGAGAGATAAGTGCCTTAGTTACTGATGGTCGTTTCTTTTTCCGAGTGTTACTTTGTTCAATAATATCCAGCACCAACTAGGATAGCGCAGAGCGAGGGAGGGTTTGTGAAGAGGAAGCACCCCAAGAGTTAAACCACGAGGCTGTTGCAGTGTTGTGCCACTGAATCTATTCTATGCAAAGGAATAGCAGTCATTTGACCAGCTAACAATGTGCCATGATTCGTCTTCCCAAAATTGAGTTGAAGTCTTGTTGTTTTTCCTTTAATCCCCATTTGAACAAAGTGTTTATTTTCTCTTTATTATTCTTATATTATGAGGACAAAATCAGCAATGCTGTCTATGTATTTGGTTACTGTGATTTTTGTCAAGAACTGCCAGTCATGATGTGGAAGTCTGCCAGGTGTTTTAGAAGGGAGATTTCAAATGAATTGGACTTCACCTGAAACCTCCTCTTGTTTCAAGATTTGCAAACTGGAAGCTTTCAATCATATTTGCCAAAACATACTCTTATTTTATGCCAAGGAAGTGTTTTTGCTTTTTGTTTTAAAAGACTGGAAGAAAGAAAGGAAGAGGGAAAACGTATTCCGCTTACTTTGGGAAAGCCTTTTTGGTGTTTCACAAAGGATAGATGTAGCTTTACTGTGCACTGATCTGAAAGAAGCAAGTAATGGGTGGATAGGGAAAATATAGCATTTACTCAAAGTATTACTGAGAGGAAGGTCACTGGGATATTCATGTGCTGCCACATCAGTGCCAAACCCGAACAGTCACAGAAGAGCCAGAGTATCAAATCACACGCTAAAGATCCGATTCGCCCTGAGCAGTTTTCAGTCGTTGAAACAATCGGAGGTGTTCATCACATTGAATAAGATTACATTCAACTTTGTGTCCTGTAACCCTGGCAGTCTCTAATGTAGTCTTGTTCACTTTTGTTACAAAAAAAGGTCAATGTCTTTTTTTTCCTCTTCTCAGTGTTAAATACATGTTTTTTTAAACATATTGAAATAATGAAATGCAATATTAGATAGGAGCAAAGACCGACTACAGAGAAATGGACAGTATTAAACGAATCCCCTCTGCCATGTTACTACGTGCTGTTAATGTTTTGAAGTTGGGTTTAGTCTATCAGGTGTATGGAGAAATCTGTTCTCTTCCGCCTGCCTACTACATGTGTAATAATGTCAATTACAGCCATTGTTACAGGTTTCTAATGTATTTTTCTAACTTCATTTTCTATGTACAAGTCTTTTTTTTTCTGATGAAACCCACTACACCTTTATTTTTTTCATGTCCTCTCTCCTCCTCCGCCCTCCCTCTCAACCCACTCTTTACTCAGATCTGTCTCTCATTGGGAGCGTTGCCTTTTCCTACAGTTATTTTGTTTTCTTGCTGATTCTTTAGCTTGTTTAACTCATTAGCAACTTATTAGTTCTTGTCATAGGTATTTTTACATGCTTGCATTTAGTTTTTATGGTGTATGCTGTTATTTTGTTTCTTATTAACCTCCTTGGCATTTATTTTAATAAACATTCTTAGTAAGAATTTTACTAACTTTGCTGATATTATTTTGTGTTGTGTTCTTTTTTTAACCAGTTTAATGAATTACTACCTTGGTCTGGTTCACGGACTAACACTATTAAATCTGGTGTGTGAACACCCTCACAGTTTCTCACACACACACACTCAAACAGATGCATTTTTCAGAGGTCCATACACATTTACAGTTCACACACACACACACACTTCCACGCAGTCTAACAGGTAAATGTGCACGAGGCAGTCCGTCCTTCACTCCGCTCCTGCACTTTCATCTTTGTCGCTGTAGAAATCTACCCAAGCGTGTGCTGCCATGCCTTGTCTGCCTCACTGTTCACGCAGTTTAATGGTGCTACTGGTGTTTCCTTTTTGTTTTGTTTGGAAAAACCGCTGCTTTCTCTAGAACTGGATGTAATTGGGAGTTAGATCTCTAGAGTCAAAACACAACTTTTTCTGTTACAAAAGCCGATGATTGGAAATATTTAGTCCAATTTGGGATTGTTTTGTCTTTGAATAGGCTCTAAATAGTGCTCTTTCTTTTTAAAGTCCTGGTGAGCCTCAGGAATCGATGCATTTACTGCCACCTTTGATGGTATTTTGTTTTAGCCTGACTCATCAGTGCAAATGAATGTCCATCCTGCCCAAACTTCTCTAGAGCATCTGATTTCAGCTCTGCTCCGTCATTCAGCCATCAGACTTCATATGTAAGGGGTCATGTGGAGTTTTTTGAAGGTCGTTTGACCTGCCGAGGCAGCGGTGAGATGAGGTGTCTGCAAGGGCTGCTGGCTGTTTGCGTTCAGAGCATTTAAGTGAACGAAAGTACTAACAAACTAGTCCGCCCTTGTAGGAACTGCTTGAGTGTTGTTGCTTTGGAGACTAAAGGCAGTGTCCTCACTGTAGAAATATTTAGGATAAGTGAAATTTGTTTTTCTTTTTATTTATTCAATATTTTCTGTGGGGAAATGTTTTGTAAACAACCCAAGCACACTATGTATTCATGTGATTTTTTTGTTGCTGTTGTTGTTGTTGTCCTAATCCTAAATTTTTAACTAATTTGAAATGCATTGCAACTGCACAAATAAAAAGTGTTTGTTTTTTTTGACCACTTTTATCCCACTGAGTGAAGCTTCAGAATGGAAAACATGCATTATATGTTGACTGCCTGAAGTTGTATTCATCTTCATTTTGAAGAGCAATGAACAAAGCCTTAATATTATATTAATAAAGGGAAGGTTTCACAAGCAAAAATGTCCTCAGGGAAGGTTTCCTCACAGGTCACAATCACCAGCATTAAAGTCATTAAATAATTATTTTGATAATTCATTGATTGTTTGTGGTTTGTAAAAGCATTTGGTCCAGTAGTTTCTGTGTGGAGTGCTGTAGCACGTTTCTCAAATAAAAAGCTTAAGAGCAAGAGTGCTTCCTTTTGCTTTTAA